GCTAATATTACTTTACACAAAGAATATTTAATAAAATGTGTTTTACTTAAATTTTTTCCGGTTTATTTTTATAATGGTAAAATATAACACAATTCTTTTACCCTTTTATAAACTGAAATTATTTTCATTTATCACACCAATTTTGACAAAAAAAAACGATTTGATAAAATGATAAATGAGTCTTAAATTTACACACAAAAAATGTAAAAGCGATAAAATAGAGTAGAGAGTCTTTATAAATAGAATTGTTTATGTAAAACAAATTTACATTTTTATTAATTTTAAAATTGTTCGACAAAATATTTACTTTTAATAATAAAGAAAATGTCATTTATATTCCCGATAGGCCACAATATTGGATCAGGCGAACTCTTTAAGCCAAGCAGACGACCACTAATAATGACCCGGATGTCCATTAAGCCTAAAACTATGGCGGACATGTAATCTCTAGAGATTTATCAACTAGGGTGCTAAAATCCCTATGATTGGCTCATAAACAAGCCAATTAAGAACCAGAGAATTATCTGTTTTAATAATTCTTGTTCTAATTAGGGCTTCAGGTACAAACTAATCAAGATGGCTGCTGTGGAATTTTTAAACAGACGACATGATTAAGCAGCTAATTTGTAACAGATCCTCTGAGTAAAAATGTATTGATTTTAAATTATATGCAAGTAATTTGCAAATTTTTGCCATGTTTGTGTAGGGTTGTATGATCGATAACTCTTTGCCAAATATTTGAACAAAACTTTTTTTTAATAGAAAACAGACGAGAAGATTGAAAGTGTTGCTCAGTTAGTTTACCTTTTTTTTAATATATATAACGTATGTATGACGATAATAAATTGGTTATTTTAAATTTCTCGATAAAATAAATTCTGAATATGTTCAAATAAACTAATTATAGAGTTATAATTCAATAATCTTTTTAATAAATTGTGGTTAGTAGGAAAATTTGCTTTAATTAAATTACTTTTCGTTAAATTTTATTTTTGATTTTATTTTATTATGAAAAAAAAAGGCATATCCTGATCGCTCACATCAACATTTTATATTGCAGAGAGCGCCATCTAGTGGAATAAAAATCAACTAAACGTTTATTTAAGTTTGTTCCATAATATTTGGCCAATCCATCTTCTTGATAAATCAAGAAAAGTAAACCACATACGCGTTTTGGGCTGTTGGAACTCGTTAGCGTGGTGTAGACAACTTAATTTCTTAATTTCTAAAAATTGCTAAGTTTCGTATAAAATATTTATTTTGAAGTTATATTTATAAAATGAGGAATATTGTACGGGGTAGCAATAAAGACTTTGTATATCTGAAGATGTGTAAGTATTTATTGATGACGTCACCGCGACTAATCGACAAATATTAACAAATCAACAAGACTATCTACATTAAGGGAATCTTGAACAAGCCAGCAAAGAAATATTTTAAAGATGACTTTACAAATACAGAGTAATATATATTTTTATTGAATAATATCAAATTAAATAAAAAAATATTTCTTCGCCACAATATGAATATTTAAATTATTATTATATTTTATTGAAAAAAAATGTGTGTATATATTTTTAAATAAAATCAATTTTTATTCTTTTATATTTCAATAACATTTATATTATTAGTGGAAACCCTATAATTTTAAAATATATATAAGAAAAATTTTTAAATATTCTACAATAATTATTATATTTTAATAATGTATTAAATAATAGAAAATTATATTAAATTAATTATTTCCGCACTAAAATCTAATTTTAGCAATTTTCTTTCTGAGATTTCACAAATATATAAAAATAAAATAAAATAACTTCACACAAAATCGTATTTTTCAAAAAGCAATTTCAAATTTACGATACAACGGAAAATTAAGTCAATTTAAAAATGACAAAAGCAATTTAATAAAATTTATAGCATATATTTAAAACAAGAAAAAATTACTTTCATTTGGCAATAAACTTGGCGTGATAGGGTGGCATTTCCATAACTTGTTAAAAACGAACATTTTTATTGACTTGTTATTTCCTCTTTTGTCAATATTTTAATACTTTGATATACAAGTCTTTTGATATTTTACGTTTATTACTATATTACTTTAAATATACTATATCAAGTTACGTTTTCTCTCTAAAAGATATATTTATAAATTATATATAAATTTGAAATTTATTACTCTTCTAATGTATAGGTTTTCAAAATATAGGCATATTTTCAGGGTAGTTGGCGACTTATGTATGCTTCAGAAAGCTGGATTGACTACATAAATAAGAAATAGGAATATTTCTAAAAACTATTTTAACAGAGATCCTTTTAAAATATTTCAGTATTTTAAGTGGAAAATATTTTTAAATATTTTAAATATATATGTTTTGAAAATAGAGAAATCCATAAATAAATCTTTAATTGAAAAGGCATATATTGGATCAAAATATCAAGGTAAAATAAATGATATTTTGATCCAATATATGCCTTTTAAATTAAATATATGTGTGTTATAAAAATATCATATGAATATATGTTATAGAATATAGTGTGTGAAGTAAGTATATTTTCATAAATATTATTTTTTACCATTTGTAAAGATATTTCAAATAGAGTTAAAGAAAATATGAAAAAAAAAGTGTTTTTCTCAATATGTCATTTTCTCAATTTTTTTTTTCTTTGATCACTTTGGAGAGTTTCCGTGAATTAGAATTTCTCGGAGAATTCAGAAAAGTTTTAGGATTAGTTAAAATTTCGGATAGTTTGAGATTAGATATTTGAAGTGTTTGGTAATTGGAGGTTTTTTGTTAATTGTAGTTTGTAGTTTGGATATTTGGAGTTAGCACATTGGTGCTAGAAGGTTTTTACTAACAACTTATTTAAAACAAAGAAGACATATCCTTACCACGAGCACATGTGCTTTTTAGATGGCAGAGCGCCATCTAGTGGAAGAAAAATCAACTAAACGTTGATTTAACTTATTCCCTGATATTTAGCCAACCCATTTTCTTGATAAATCAAGAAAAGTGATCTACGAATGCGTTTCGTGCTGTTGGCCCAAACTTACATTTAGTTAACAGGTATGTGGCAATGTTTGCGTGATTGTGTGTGGTGTGTTCAGGCAATCCTCTCCAATGCGGATGTGAAGTGCTAGCTCTCTGGGAATGGTTAAGGGACCATCCCCGAGTGGCGGCTACAGTACCAACATGTCCTGGGGGTCCTAGATGTCCAGCCCCTGCAGTGGGAGGACTCGAGGTTGTAAGATTGGAGCCCCGAGCCGCTACTGTACGTTGGCGTCTTGCAGAAGGCCAACCGGCGGAATTCCTTGTCTCCTACCGTCCCGTGGGTACGGACGACCCCGGGGGTACATCCCCACCTCTTCAAGGTACCATACGTCAATGGACAGCCAGCCCTCTACAGCCTTCAACGTGGTATCATTTCTGTGTACGTGCACGCGGGAGATTCCAACACGGTCCAGAACATTGCGTGCAGCTTAAGACACACGGAGATGACCATGGGACATCACATTTCCCACGTTCATGGTTGACTATTGTCCTTCTTGGAGGCGCTTTTATCATAGGAGTGGCTGTAATCTGTCTGATTGCAGTCTTGTTGGCCCATCGGCGGCGAAGGAAAAGACATCCACGTCAGGATCCACCGAAAGAACATCTTAACGAAATATCTTACCGCCACTACTCCATCCACTCAAGACCTGAAGGAGGTTATGCTTGAAGCACGAATAGAACTGTTTACATCAAGGACAATCTTTTTGTTTTTTAAATAACGTACTCTGCATTCTTTTCCTTCCACACAGAATATTACGGAAGGTTTATCACCACAAAGTACGTTTTATTGATTTTTAAATGTTAATAAAAGTTCGTTTTTATTATATCTTTGTTTATTTATTCAAAACACGCACACGCACATACGTACTTTATTCTTGTATATCATAAACTAAAATGTTGAATTGGTTATCTGTTCGAATTTCACTTCAGCAAACTTTTTACCTCATTGTATTCATATTTTGCTAAACTCTATATTGATATAAAAGATAAAATATATACAGTTAAACCTGTCTATAGCGCCCCCTATTGGGACTCACCAAAATAGGGTGCTATAGAGAGGTCACTTTTAATGTAAAATATTTACATTTTAAAGTTTAAAATCGGGCGCTATAGAGAGGAAGGCGATATTTAGAGGGGGCGTTATAGAGAGAGAGAGAGAGAGAGACAGGTTTAACTTTATATATAATAAAATAAACAATTTTCTAGTCCTAAGTTTCTATAAATTCTTTAATAAGGCGACACGAAAATATATTTTGAATAAAAACAGAAATGTTACCTAAAAGATAATATCACCATTATATTGTACTAATATATCACTAATATAAAAATAAACTTTTTATTTACTCTGACAGTTTCATCCATTCTTCAATGGTCAATATTGTTATTTAAGGTCAATATATCAAATAGCCTTATGTTCGCCTACTTTCGTTTTAAGAAGGAAGAACAAACCTCGAAAAGACTACTGTTTTCTACATGAAAAACAGATTTACACCGATATTACACAATTTTAGTATAGAAGGTTATAAATGTAACACAATGTTGATACGGTATATTCTAGGCTCTAATCATAGTAGTTAGTTTTGAGCCCAACAATGTTCGTGGCAAACAAACAATGCATTGTTGCAATACACCAAGTTACTACAAGTCACCAAGTTGGTTCATAAAGGTTAGATTCCCCAGAGAAGGGAAGATAAGATAGTAGATGGGAAGTATTTTTTGCTTATTCCTAGTACACGTGGTACAGGCCATGATAACCATAGTGGGTAGAAGTAGGCGACTGCTTTTACTGTAAGTTCACCACATGTCTATACATGCGAAACGCTTTTCGACTTTTCACTTATAAATGTGCCAGAGCCCCGTTTGGTTACTTGCACTCGCTGGTGGTTTTGGACTTTTGTAAGAATCGGGGGCCATTATATCAATTATTTATTTTTATCAGAAGAAAAGTGCCCAACGCGGGAATTGAACCCGGGTCGTAGCGGTCGAAGACCAACCGTTTAGACCATTCTTCCACCGAACCTCAGATGGGTAGATGAAATATGGTAAATAAAGAGCAGACATGTCAATAGGTGCTAGAATGAGTCAATTATTTTCTTTTTATTGAAAATAAATATGTTGAAAAAATAAATTGCTTAAAAAAATTGCTGTTGAGACTTTTTTGGAGTTAAAATTGAGAATGAATATGGTGATCTCAAGACAACCAGCCATTATTTTACACCAGAGATTTGCATAACGCGTTCAAATGGGCAGATGTACAAGTCAATTTACCGAGCGACTCGCGCTGTCAAATCACAAAGCCATTTGTCCTCTGTCGTAGGGTTACAGCGTCAAGAATACAATTTTGACACCAACAAAAGAATAATAAGTCAGTTAAACCTCCACTAAGCGACCAATCATCCCCTTTGAGCTGCCATTTGTAAAATAAAAACAGACAATATTCAACCACACCGAAAAGCGATCATTCTCAGAAGAGACCAATAGTATCCCTGTCTTTTAACCAATCTCTCATAGAAGGTTTAAGTAGAATAAAGAATACATATAGCCAATATATTAAGTATAAAGAATTATTTCAAAACTTATCTTTTTTTAAACCCTAAAAGGAATCGATCAAGTTTATGTATAAACAAATTAAGAAAATATCACACACACAATACAGTATCCTCTATTTAAATAAATAATATATATTTAATAGGTATTATTTTGAAAAATAAGGTTAAAGGGCATTCGCGAAATTGACAGATAACTTAATAAGCTATCCTGTTTTAATACTATTTAAACATTTTCAAACTCTTTACATGTCCATTTGTATTTTACATTCGATAATTTATCGATAAAATTTGTAGCAAATAAATTTACTGGTAATGTATTTCTTTTCAATGATATTATCAGAAGAGGATTACATTATATATCTGTGTAGAGATAATATTTGATGATACCATTAAAATGAAAGACATTGACAGTAAATTTATTTGTTACAAATTTTTTTAGAGGACATTTCAACTTCGGTGATAGAGATGTATGGAGGCATCTGTGGCTATTCATACATACATTTTCATATGAACAACAGATAATTGACATGGACCAAGAACAGCAGCTTTACAGACCCAAGATAGAGAACATTGTGACTGCTGTGATAGAGATGTATGGAGATATCTGAGGCTCTTCATTGGACACGACAACAACAACAGAAAATTGACATGGACCCAGAATAGCAGCTTTACACACCCAAGATAGAGAACATTGCTGTGATAGGGATGTATGGAGACATCTGAGGCTCTTCATTGAACACGACAACAACAGAAAATTGACATGGACCCAGAACAGCAGTTTTACACACCCAAGATAGAGATCATTGCTGTGATAGAGATGTATGGAGACATCTGAGGCTCTTCATTGGACACGACAACAACAACAGAAAATTGACATGGACCCAGAACAGCAGTTTTACACACCCAAGATAGAGATCATTGCTGTGATAGAGATGTATGGAGACATCTGAGGCTCGTCATTGGACACAACAAAAACAACAGAAAATTGACATGGACCCAGAATAGCAGCTTTACACACCCAAGATAGAGAACATTGCTGTGATAGAGATGTATGGAGACATCTCAGGCTCTTCATTGGACACGACAACAACAACAGAAAATTGACATGGACCCAGAACAGCAGCTTTACACACCCAAGATACAGAACATTGCTGTGATAGAGATGTATGGAGACATCTGAAGCTCTTCATTGGACACGACAACAACAACAGAAAATTGATATGGACCCAGAACAGCAGCTTTACACACCCAAGATAGAGAATATTGCTGTGATAGAGATGAATGGAGACATCTGACGCTCTTCATTGGACACAAAAACAACATAAAATTGACATGTATCCAGAGCAGCAGTTTTACACATCCAAGATAGAGAACATTGCTGTGATAGAAATGTATGGAGACATCTGAGGCTCTTCATTGGACACGTCAACAATAGAAAAATGACATGGACCCAGAACAGCAGCTTTACACACCCAAGATAGAGGACATTACGACTGCTGTGATAGAGATGAATGGAGACATCTGAGGCTCTTCATTGGACATGACAACAACATCAATCAGAATAATTGAAAAATAAGTTTCTTCATTAAGATAAAATAGCTGTACATGAATGTGTATAACTTATACCAATGTTGAAATTTACTTTAAATCTTCCTTTTGATATTATCATCCTGTTTCTTGACTTCTGTGGGGATTCCTATAAGGATATTTGTCAAATCTTATATGGAGAGTTTAATAATAAAAGTTATTGCGCGCAATTTTCTTTTTTGAAATATTGTTGGTGCGCAGTTGGAGTCTTTTGTTTACATGTCACATTTTAACTTACTATCAACATATTTTATCATTGGTTCAATTGTAACTTTATGCAACTTATTTATAATAACCTTCATGTATAATTATTTTGTATAAATTTCTCTCTATCGTTGAATTTGCATACTTTTGTTTTTTTAGATTATTTAAGACAATAATTTTTAGTTAGAAAGTTCTTTTCCTCCAAACCTTTAGTTTGTGAATAAACATTAAAAAGATCTTTTGGATGTTTTCTACCAGTACATCAGGTCACCAACGCAACAATATTGTGTTTATAAATATAGTGGGTTTACAACATTGTCGGCTTGATGGTGTATGTATGTTTAGATCTGTCTTGTATTGAATGGGTGCAGAGTGTTGTGAAATAGGTCAACTATCTAAGTAGAAACAGTACTTACATAAAGATAGTTCACAATCATCAAAGCAGGTACCAGCTTCTCCGGATCTTCATTATCATCCTGAAAGAAATAAATAATATTAACACAAAATATCTACCATGGTAGATTAAACTGGCGAAACCGCTGGTAGAGTTCCCCACTGACGAACCAGGCCTACATTAATTATTCCATTGCAATAAGGGCAGTAGAAATTGTTTATTTTGAAAAGAATCATACGCGTCTATAATATAATGATCTAAGGGAAGAAAACCAACTTTACCTGACTAATACAAAACAATTTGTTCACAATAAAGACCAATACATCAAGTTTAATAGATTCTGCAGGCTGTATATTTTAAGGCGAAAGTGTTGACTGTACATATTTCAAGCTACTATTTCTAATTACTACATGCAAAATTTTCAATTGTGTTAATTGTATATAATTTCAGATATACACGCAATTATCCTAATTGTGGATATGGCGTGTCTCTCCCAACTGTTAAATAAATAAAAATAATAATAATAATAGTTTCGAATTTTAATAACAGATGGCGAGCTAATTCATCACAAAAAATAATATAGAAACACATGTTAACTCAATTCCATTGGTATTATGTATACAAAATATAAAAGGCCAAGCAAAGGTGAAAATGAAATGTTAATGCGAATTTTTACGTGCGAAATATGTAAATATATTTTACAATATCTATAATTTATACTAAATAATGATTTTGTAACATACTCTGTATTTATTTATGTAAAATATTTAATTATTCTTTAATTTTTCTTCATAGTTAGGGTAGTCGGTAACACTGTACTTTATTTCATTCTCTAATTTTACATAAGTTTGTTTTGTTTATATATTATGGTTAACCTTGTTGTAAATAAATTAAATATTAAAATACAAAGTATTGTGAAAAAAATAGTACAAATGTGATATTGTACTGGGATAAGGGGTGGATAAATTATAAAAAAAAAGGCAGCTCCTTATCGTGCAACTGAAAGTTTCTGATGGCTTGCACCATCTATAGGAATAAATATCATCTATTCTCGTTGATTTTTAATTATTCCAGAATTGGCCAAACACAAAGTATTGTGACTATCCCATATTTATAAATAGGAAAGGTTGCAGCTTCAATCAGTTTTTTTTAATAAAGAAATAATTTATAAATATTATAATATTTTAGGAAATAAATCCTTAAAGCACAATTTCTTTTATACATAAAACAAACTTCTACTATCCTTATTGCGATGAAAATATAATGGAAGGGCTCGTCTCATCAGTGTTAAACCCTCCCAGCGGTTTCGCCAGCGTAACATATTTAACCAGAATCGTCTAAAACAGATTAGGACTCTAAAGAAAGCGGTCTGGTAGATTAAATTTTGCGAAACCGCTTGGAGGTATCACCACGAATTAGCCAAGCCCTCCCAATATTTTTTTCATCGCAGTAAGGACGGTAGAAGTTGTTTTAAGTATATATGGTAATTTAAGCCAACAACCCTATATTGTATAATACTTATAACAAGATTGACATGTTGTATATAGAGACACATCTATAAATAATTATACACATGATTGACATGTGTCATTGCATCACCATATGTAATGTACTTTGTACAAACTGAGGATACATAAATAAAACTATGTAATAGATTAAGAGCTGAGTTAAAGCAAGATTGAGAAGTTCAAAAACTTCTAAAATCGAGAGAGAAATCCAACAACCCTAAAGAGGAATTTGGCAGCCCGTTGCCATCTGGTCCAATGGGTGCAGAATGCCGCAGACGTTCAAAGTCTAAATTCTCGCATGTCTCCCTCCTCGGCAAAAGGTATATAAAACCTCGGTTTGAGCAGAACATACAGTCACTTCACCATCGGCGCGAGTCATTGTCGGTTGTAGCCAGGACCACCTCATCGCCATGTAAAACAGTAAGATCTCGTTTAACTCCATCTTGCTCTTAGCTCGACTCCTATCTGTTCATGGAACTTTCCTACTACAACTGTGTCTCTTCGTTTTTTGTGTGTGGACATTCCCAAGCTTTCCACTCTGCCTCGACCACGACTGCCTGTACTCTGTGAGAACTGTTAAAGGTCTTCCAAGATGCAGAGAGGTACTGGAAAACTCTCCACGCCCTGACTGTCCCTCTCAGTTACTACAGATTTGACCCTCGGTTACCACAGCTAATGCGAGAGTCGACAGGATATCATCATCACAAATAAGTCGACAGGACCTCATCATATATATATATATATTTTTTTCGTTTTAATGTTTTATTTCCTTATATATAGATGGGGCG